CTGCCTATTAGTCACACTTCACAAAGGTTAAAGGTCCTGAAGTTTTAGCTGTTGCCTTGGATACTCATTTGTGTTTCCTATAACTTCTTTACCTCTCTCAAACACTGACTTGTTAATGAACTCAGGGGTCAGAAAGGGTTAAAAAAATGGCAAGATAAATTAAATTTTTTATACTTGCAGATATATTGATTATGTATTATAATTTTTATATGTATATCACTTCTGAAACCTATATTGCATGACCAACTCATTGATTCTTTTTTAGCATTCAGTCAATAATGATTCAAAAGCTCTATAATAATCTAGGAAATTTCTTAAAGGAGTCTATTTCTAAATTTACTTTTAAGGAAAAGGATTCATCCAGGTACTTTTATCCTCTATTAGATATTTTTATATACAGTGTGTGTGTGTGTGTGTGTGTATATATATATATAAAATATATCCTTATATGCAGTGTCCTGGGATAATATTTATATTTCTTGAACATTGTCGTTCCTTCCAATTAGCATGTAAGGAGAGATCATTTTCTCTTTAATTATAAAAGTAGTACACTTCATTGTAGATAATTTGGAAAAGCAGCATACTAAAATTAAAGTCATTCATGGTAATTATATCTTCATCCACATGAATATGAAGCTTTGTTTTTTTTAGTGAATTTTTACTTTTTTAAATCAACTTTTGTTTTGAAATAATTTCAAACTTAACAAAAAGTTTGTAAAATACTACAATGAAATTCTCTTATACCTTTTACCCAGCCTCTCCTAAAGTTAACATCTCAACTCAATGTTGGTCCAGTTCTATTAACAAATCTACAGACCTGTTCAAATTTTGTCCATATGAATTTTATCCCAGTAATTGCCTTTTCTCTCTCTACCGTGATTCAATTCAGGATCCCATGTTGCATTTAGTTGTCATGTCTCCATCTTCTTCTCTTTCTTGGCAATTGTGAAGAGTACCAGGCAGTTATTTTATGGAGTTATTCCACAGTTTGGATTTGCCTGATATTTCCTTATGATTACATTTAAGTTTGTGGTATTGTCAAGAATACTACAGCAGTGATGGTTTTTCTTCATAGTGTATCATATCAGGAGGCTTTTGGCAGATGTGTTTGGCAATGATATGCTTTGTACAATTGAGGTGGTATCTGCTAGCCTTCTTCACAATAAAGCTACTTTTTTTCTTTTGTAATTAATAAATATATTTTGGGGAGAAACTTTGAGATTATATAAATATTCTGTTTCTTGTCATGCTTTTTAACATTATTTTCAGCATCCATTGGTGATATTTGCCTGGAACAATTATTACTACTGTGATTTTCTATTTTCATCATTCTTGGAATTACAATATAAGGAAGAACTTCCCTTCTCTATTTATTTACTTTATTCAGTTATTTATTTATATAAGTATAGACCCATCCCCAATGTTTCTTAAATAATACCTTGCATTCTGGTATCTTGTTCTGTCCCTGCCCAGCCTTGGAATTGGTATTTTTTTAAAGAACCCTGATTTATTTTATTAGAGAATGGTTGTAGAAACTAAAATCTGGACTGGGCTTGGTAGTTCATACCTGTGATCTCAGCACTTTAGGGGGCAAAGATGGGAGGATCACTGAGGTCAGGAGTTCAGAACCAGCTTAGGCAGCATAGTGAGACCCCATCTCCTCAAAAAAATTAAAAATTAGCTGGGTGTAGTGGTGGAGGTTAGAGGATGCCACGGTGACAGAATTGTTTGAACCCAGGAGGTCAAGGTCACAATAAGCAATGATCAAGTCATTGTACTCCAGCCCGGGTGACAGAGCGAGACCCTGTCTCAAAAATATAAAATCTAGGTGCTTGCTGCATTCCATTGCTTCTTGGGTATCTTTGCTTCTAGGCCCTCTCAGTGTACAAAGCAAGGAAATAAAAGTATGTATACGTAGACATTTGTATTTATTTGTATGTCCATTTACCTCTCATGTGTGTATTTGTGTGCAAAAACATCTATATTTACTATTCGAATACCTCTTATTTCAATCTAAGACCAAAGTGTTCATTTAGTCTTCCTCCTTTTTTATTAATAACTCCTCTTTCTACCTGTAAGGTACCACAGTATTGTTAATAAAGATATATTTATTTAGATACCCAATCCTGGAAGATTCAGTGATGTAGTCTTAGAATTATAACCCTTACTCTTCCAAAAAGCAGATACTAACTAAAATGCAGTAATTGTGTTCATTTCTTTTTTTTCTTTGGAGACCTTTTCTTGATATATTTACACATACAGTCACTTTTTTCTTACAGAAATATCATGTTATTTTTTAAATGCCTGATAATATAAAGCATTAAATATTATTCTCAAGAATAATTTCTAATGACTACACTATATTCCCTCATATAAAATTTCAAAATTTATTTGGTGAGTTCTCTGTTAGACATTTGTATTGTGCAGTTTTTCTCTATTTTAAGTTATAAGCATTAGTTTTGACCATCTTAAATGTTTGGCTTGGCTTTTGAGAAGCTACCTGGAAAGAAATTTCATTGTAAAGAGATGGAAAGAAATTTCATTGTAAAGAGATGAAAACCAGCTTCATATTCTACATCTTCTCACTCCTGGAATTTCTCTACAAGATTGTATAAAAGTAAACAAGCCGGAAAGAGGGAAGAATATTAAAGTTGCCAATAGGAAACATCAAGAGAATGACTGATTGACAGTTCTAATCCTGTACCCTGTTGTTTTCATTTGATACACGGGTACTACTGGCCTTAGAAAGTACTGGTTGAAGCAGTTTGCAGCTCTGCTGGCTGATTTAAAATTATACTACTGCTGTCGTGGGACAAGAGCATGATCTTGCAAACTGTGGATGGGAATCTGCCACCAGTTCTGACTGTAAATTCTCCTCTGCTACCATTTTAGTGTAAGACCATAGGCAAGTCACTTAACCTCTGGTATCTGAGTAAAACTAACACCTTAGAAGAGTGGTGCATTGGTTAATGTTTATAAAGTAAACAACAATTTGAGGAAACAGGTCTTAGTTTCTTCATTCTTAGCAGTTCTTTCATTTCCTTGCTTTATCAGAGTGATTTAACTATTTTCTTTGTTTTATAGACACATACCTTTTATTTGCACCATCATCCAGATTATAAAAACTCTGTGGTCTTGACTACCCATGTTCTGAGCAATCTTTCACAGAAGAAAAACATACTTGTACTAGAAGTATTCCTCCTGGCTTGAAGTCAGATCTACATTGCAGCCTGCCTTTGCTTCTCCTATCCCATTTCAAATTACATATCAGGGGCATTTGTATCATTTTTTTGGCTTCACATATTTTTGTCATGGTTCCTTTGAATACTTTACTGTTACTAGCATTTCCTTTGCTATCCCCTTAACAAAAATAAATATTAAAATTACTGTACATATCTCAATTTTTTAAATCTGTTTAGAATATTCTAATTTGTAAATTCCATAATTTTGGAATTGATTGTCCTTGCTGTTTACCTTTGAAATCTTCTTCTTGATCATATTAACTGTAAAATGTATTTGTAAAATGTAGAAAGTGATATAACAGCCTTTCTGTGCAGGATATACCAAAGAAAAGCTATATGTTAGCTCTTATAGGAAAATTAAAAGTAAAAAATATCAAAAATTAAAGTGAGTTACCTAAATTTCCAAATTTGGTGACAAAACCATAACTAATGATAAATGTCTGGTGTTTTCAGTACCTCTCTGCCTCACACTGGTTTTTTTTTTTGTGTTTTTTGTTTGGTTGGTTGGTTTTGGTTTTTGGTTTTGGTTTTTGCCTGGACAACAGGGTCTTGCTCTGACTTCCGGGCTGGAGTGCAATGACACCATCTTGGCTCACTACAGCCTTGACTTCTAAGCTCTATGGATTCTCCCACCTCAGCCTCCTGAGTAGCTGGGACTACAGGTACAAGCCACCATGACTAGCCAGTGTTTTGGAAAATTTGAAGGGCCAGAGTTTCTCCATGTTGCCCAGGTCTCAGACTCCTGGGCTTAACCATCAGCCCTCCTCATCCTCCCAAAGTGATGGGATTACAGGTGTGAGCCACCACACGCACCCCTGACACTGTTTGTTTGTTTTTGTTTTTTTATTGTTATTGTTTTTTTTTTTTATCAAAGAACAAAGCCATTGGCTTTCAGAGAAGTTAAATAGCTCTGCTAAAGGTGATTTGTTGAGGCAATCTGTGCTGAAACCAAATGGAGATTCCGGGACTTTTGTTCTCGCTCTGTTATCTCTGATCCTTTCTAAGAAGTGCCACCAGTCTGCAAATTAAAAAATAATCTTCATTTAAGTGAAAAACAATCTTCATTTAAGTGAAAAACATCTAAACACAATACTAAGCCGAATAGTATATGTGTTTATATCATGGTCACTGTCACTACTTCCTACATATGGTATTTACTTCAAAACTTCCCAGTATTGAGCTTTCCAGATGTGTCATGCAAAAAGATAAACCATGGCTTGTAGAGCCTGAACTCAGTGAGCGGAGAAGCAGAGGGCTGTGTGATTCCAAGTTTAATTGTGCTTTTAATTTACTGAGTTAATTTGGGAAAGCTTTTTTTCAGAAGTCATAAAGGCTAGATTTACCCTTCCGCTCATGTTATCAAGACTGCAGCCTACATTTTAACACAAGATCATTTACACACAAGATCAAAACACTTATGTGTATTTTAAGATTTATTTTAAAGGACATTAGCAGCAATATTCTTTTTTTTTTTTCAGCCCTAGTAAAGGTTTTAATTCTAAGATGCCATCATAGTGAACAACCCTAACTTTTATGCTACATAATTATATTCAAAGCTTTATGTTTTTTGTTTATTATTACACAATAATTATAAGTGTTTAGTACCAACCTGATGACAAACACTATTTTGTTGAAAAGGTTTTGGATTTAAAAATAAAAATATGTAAAATCCAAGGCACTAGGCCATGAACTTTTAAAGAAAACACTTTTAAAGAAATCAGACTTTTAAAGAAAACACTTTATATTGAAAAAAGAAGGGCGTGAGGAGCCCGCTCGAGACGATGCCGCCGTGGAGACAGCTGAGGAAGCAAAGGAGCCCGCTGAAGCTGACATCACCGAGCTCTGCCGGGACATGTTCTCCAAAATGGCCACTTACCTGACTGGGGAACTGACGGCCACCAGTGAAGACTATAAGCTCCTGGAAAATATGAATAAACTCACCAGCTTGAAGTATCTTGAAATGAAAGATATTGCTATAAACATTAGTAGGAACTTAAAGGACTTAAACCAGAAGTATGCTGGACTACAGCCTTACCTGGATCAGATCAACGTCATTGAAGAGCAGGTAGCAGCTCTTGAGCAGGCAGCTTACAAGTTGGATGCATATTCAAAAAAACTGGAAGCCAAATACAAGAAGCTGGAGAAGCGATGAGAAACCTGTTTTTATGGGATAGAGTCTTTTTTTTTTTTTTTTTTTAACATGGAAGAATGTTTTATAAAACCCGAATCCTGAGGCTGATGAATTGTGAAAACTCCTCAAAAGGAAACTAAGCTGGTCATCCCAGGAACATCTCAATGTTGGAGTAAACTGGAGGACTGTGGCTATTCGTGAACCTTCTTTGAGGCAGTATCCCTCAGAACCTCACACTTAAAACTTCTTACCTTTTACTTGAATGCTTTGCCGTATTCAGGACAGAGACTCTCTCAAAGTTTAGAATACAGCTGGGCTTGCCAGTAAAATCAAATGAGAGGACCTATTTTCTCTGGTAGTGGATGAATACTACATTATTTTCTTAAGTGGCTGGTTTTTTAGTTACTATGTAAATGGTTGTTTTTTTTCTGTTAATGATGCTAATGTGTTATAAACAAGATTCTAAATTTAAAAAGGAAAAGAAAACAAAACAAAAAAACAAAAAAGAAAGCTAATGGGATCTCATTGCAAAACACAGCATATGTGAATTAATCAATCTGAAAACAATAACCATAACTCAAAATTTTCAAGACAGGAAACAAAACAGTACATATATATGTTATGTATGTAGATAGATACCTTTTAAATTTTTTTCATAATTGAAGTTCCTCTTGATATTTACAAAACTGAAATCAGGAAATACTGAAAGCAGCAGGATTCTTCTTTTTTCTTTTTCTTTTAATAACCGATTCCAGTAGCTGAATAGAAATTTTCAACTTTTTCTTTTGGTAAAACAGCATTCTTGAATTAAAGTTATGATTGGAATATTAATATGTCTATAGGGAAAAAATCATGTAAATAAAAGGCAGTTTTAATATGTCATTGTTTCTTAAAATAATTTCCATATTTTCATAAAATGTACTGCTATTCTGAAGTACATTCCTTTGTTAATAACAACCCTAGACCTTAGAGAGTGCCTGGATATACCAAGCAGAATCTGTGCCTATCAAAAGACCATAATCATCTAACATTTGATTACATTTCTAGCCTGCCTTACAGAAATGTTTAAGAAAGCAAGGAACCCTTCTTCACATGTCAGTAAGTGAACAGAGAAATGACCATTTTCAGCATAAAAGCAAGTCATGGGTCTTGTAATAAAAAATATACAAACAAGATAGCATTCTGCTTTGATGAGAAAACTGAGCTAATCTGAGTGAAACAAAAACAGTAAAAAGACTAGAAGCCAGATTGGTATTTTGCATTATGTATGCTTGTTTGAAAATCTTTGCTCCTGAAGTAAATATTTGGCAACCACAGTGATTGGCAGTTAAAGCAATTTCAACAAAATAAGAAATCATCAAAAATGGACTATTTGAAAGAACAGTACCTATATTATAAAGATTGAACTTCATAGCTTATCACAACCACTTTCAAAATTTAACTCCTGCTATCTTCTTATAAATTAAGAGAATTGTGTCTTCCATAGTGCAATAACAAAAAAATAATAAAACCAAAACAAAAAAAAAAACCCTCATGCCTAAATTTAGAATATTGTGTTGTGTAGCAATCCAAAACATTCAAAACAAATTAAATAGTTTAACTTATGTGACAGGCAGTTAAGCATTTCAAAAGCATAATGAAGTTCAATTATGTAGTGTAAAATGTAGACAGGAGTAGAATCTAACATTATGCAGACATTTTCTAAATAAAAGCTCCTGTAGGACAACTATATGTAAACATGAGTAAGGTAAGTGCAGACTAGTTCTGTGGAACCTTTTGAAATCAGGAGCCTGAAACACAATACATTTTTCAGATAGGCACCAAATTATAAAAAATTTTCATGTTGGTTATTCTGACATTGTTTTTTCATCATATACTCTAGTCACATCAACAACACATGTGATTTGCCAAGAAAAAAAATTCCCCCAAACCAAAGTACCATTCCAGATCCAGTACACTTAAATATATCATTCTCATTGGAAGTGCTGTGAGCACAGTCTTTGCACCTGGCCCAAAATGTATATTTAAGAAGTTTTTTACAAATTATTTTGTGTTGTTCATGTGTTTAATTCTTATGCCAACTGTTTTCTGATGAAGACAGCATTGTGCTTTAGGAGAGAATGGAAACCTCAAAATAATCACCATAAGTCTTATGGAAGAATAAACTAGGATGGTCCATAGGTATAAGATGAAATCCGCAATGCTGGAATTATAAATGTTTAGAGCAGCCCAGGCTAGAAGACAAGCCCAAACCACCATTAGAAGAATGAAATGGTCCAAGTTGTATTCTTAAAGTTTTGTCTCAAGTGTGAGGACTGATCTTCAGTTCAGTCCAGCCAGCAGAAATTGTGCCATTTTCTATTGTATTTATTGCACAGACTATGTACATTCTAGAAGGTTCCTTTAGTGATACACTGTTATACTTTTTGTCCCAGTAGTTTGAGGGTGTAAAAACTCCACAAAGTCATTGATAAGAACAGGCCATGCTCCTTATTCATCATAATTAGACATGTCATCTGCAATCATTGTACTGAAGTCTAAAAGAAGATTCCAAATGTCTTTTGGTATTGATTGTTTATGATGTTCCAACAAAAAGTTATTCCATAAATCTAAGAATTTATATCTTCCACTTAGCACTGAGTTCTAGTAGGAAATGGCCATTTCTAGATCTAATCCTTTTTGTCCTAGATTCTTTGCAAAATTAAAAGTAAACTGGTAAAAATCATTAAATCATTCTGGTTCTTTCAATTCTTGTTCCATCTTGGATATCTGGGCCTTTAGTTTTTCTGTGTTATCACATCCTAATTCTGTCATGCCATCCATGAACTCCTGTTTGGAGAACTCACACTATGTTGCTGCTCTGAACTTCCATGCAATAATCAATACACTAATGCTGGCTGGATTGAGTTCCAGGTCATCACAGAACTGCTGTGTACCATCTATTCCAATTGTATTCTCATCTTGAGGATCTTTGTATCCATTGTACAGTTGTTCTAACTTCTTCCTGTCTAATGATCATTTTACGCTACCTCATATATGAAGTGGGGATTTTGAAAAAAATTTTCTGTTGCCACACCTAACTTCCAGTCATTTTAAAATATACAGTTTGCTGCTGCTTTTTCACTAGATTGTGTGAAGATCATAACCTGACAAACTTTACCCTTCTGCGATGATTTCAACTTGTTTATGTTGGTGTCCTCCAGGCCTCTCCCTCCCTCCTTCAGCTCTGCAGCAAATGAACAGCAATATTCCTAAAGATTACAAGAAAAATGATGTTAATTCATGAAAGGAAAACACATCTCATACACACACACACACACACACACACACACACAGAAATGTGACAGTATATACGAATTAGAAAGATTTCTAGAAACCTATGCTTCCAAATTTAAATTGGAATTAATATATGTTAAATACCCAATTATACCAGAATATTTGCAGAACTACACACCATCCTGTACCTCCTACCAAAAAAGAAAAAAAAAAATCGCTATTTAATGATGGGCCATAAGGCAAACATTATGACAGTGGTGGTAATGATGAACATTTATTGAAGGTTTTCTTTGTATCAGGCTCTGTTGTACTTGCTTTGCATTTAATTAATGCATTTTCTACAATAGTCTAGTGAAGCAGTACAACTATTACTCTTGTTTTGCAGTTGAAAACTAAACAACTTTCCCAAAATCACATCAGAAGGCAAAAACAGCCTTCATCACAGGTTGGATATACCATAAAATGTGTTTCACTGTGTTCCATTTGTCCTGTATTGATGAATTTTAAAATTGTACCCCTGATCTAGTGAGAATTTGTTTTAAAATTTGAGAACCTTACTGGAATTTCTACATTTTTAACCACAAACCCCCATTAGACCATGAATAATATTTTTAATCCCTGTTTTTCAAGGTATACTCAAATCACTTCCCTTTAATTACTCTGGTTCCCTTTTCAACAGTCTGCATATAATTACTTTAACCAGTTTCTAAGAGAGACTTGTTAATATGATTGAATATTTGTAACTGCTTTATTTTATCACTCTACAGTGTCCAGTTGATAGGGCGTTTGCTTTTTTTGTATCAACTGCTTGTGCATCTTCTCAAGTTTTTAATTATGCTACATAAACTAATGAATTAACCATTTGTTTCCTCACCTTCTCCCATAAAGCTACAATAATTGAAAATAATGGGAGAAAGATCAGATTGTTGGTCCATAGGAAGAAGGAAGAATAGCATCATAATTATAAGATAATCCTATAATGAATGGTATGTGCACACTGGAATAATTTCTGCATAATTTTACTGCAGTAAACACACACACATACAAACACAAACACACACACAC